AAAACAATCAATGGGGAAAGGATTCCCTATTTAATAAATGGTGCTGGGAGAACTGGCTAGCTATATGCAGAAAATTGAAACTGAATCCCTTCCTTACACCTTATACAAAAATTAACTCAAGATAGATTAAAGACTGAAATGTAAAACCCAGCACAATAAAAAGCCTAGAAAAAAATCTAGGCAATACCATTCAGGACATAGTCAAGGGCAAAGATTTCATGACGAAAACATCAAAAGCAATTGCAACAAAAGCAAAAGTTGACAAATGGGATCTAATTAAACTAAAGAGCTTCCGCACAGCAAAAGAAACTATCATCAGAGTGAACAGACAACCTACAGAATGGGAGAAAATTTTTGCAATCTATCCATCTGACATTGGTCTAATATGCAGAATCTGCAAGGAACTTAAGCAAATTTACAATTTAAAAAAACATCAAAAATTGGGCAAAGGACATGAACAGACACTTCTCAAAAGAAGACATTTTTATAGCCAACAAACACATGAAAAAAAAAAAGCTCCACATCACTGATCATTAGAGAAATGAAAATCAAAACCACAGTGAGATACCATGTCATGCCAGTCAGAATGGCAATTATTAAAGTCAAGGAACAACAGATGATGGTGAGAGTGTGGAGAAACAGAAACACTTTTGCACTGTTGGTGGGAATGTAAATTAGTTCAACCATTGTGGAAGACAGTGTGGCGATTCCTCAAAGACCTAGAACCAGAAATACCATTTGATCTAGCAATCCCATTACTGAGTATACACCCAAAGAAATATAAATCATTCTATTATAAAGATACATGCACAGGTGTGTTCACTGCAGCACCATTCACGATAGTAAAGACATGGAATCAACCCAAATGCTCATCAGTGATAGACTGGATAAAGAAAATGTCCCTGCAAAGCATGTGATCTCGTTCCTTTTTATGGCTGCATAGTATTCTGCATAGTAATACTATGCAGCCATAAAAAGGAACGAGATCACATCCTTTTCAGGGACATGGATGAAGCTGGATGCCATTATCCTCAGCAAACTAACACAGGAACAGAAAACCAAACACCGTATGTTCTCACTTATAAGTGGAAACTGAACAATGAGAACACATGGACACAGGGAGGGGAATAACACACACTGGGTGGGGGGAGGGAGAGCATCAGAATAAATAGCTGATGCATGTGGGTCTAATATCTAGGTGATGGGTGGATAGGTGCAGGAAAACACCATGGCACATGTTTACCTAGGTAGCAAGCCTGCATTTCCTGCACATGTGTCCCGGAACTTAAAATAAAATTAAATTTAAAAAAATAGACCAGTCCTCCCTGGAGCACCTGCCTTGGGTAGCAACACTTAAACTGGATTATGTCCATGTTCCTTAGTAGATAACAAGTTCCTTGGCTTTTTTTTTCAAACACTTTTTGTGCCCTCTACAGTTCCCAGCTAAAATAGATGCCCAATATAATGTTTATTAAACCAATGTTGCTTTGAAAAAATAAGACTTATTAGTGTTTGCAATGTGATGAGAACTAATACACACACACACACACACACACACACACACCCACACACACACACACACACACACACACGGAACCCTCCCATATCTATAAATCCTGGTTTTTGTTTCCTTATCTTTACCCTGGAGACAGTATCAAAAGATCAGGCATTTGCAGTTCTGAAAACCTCCTTTTAAAGCTCTGTGACTGTAATGTCTAAAAGTTAAGTTGATTATAACAGCACTGGGGAAATATGAATTGAGGAGCTGCCTTGGGTTCGTGCATAAATTGTGCCCTGGCCTGCGATGGTAATTATCACAAAAGAAGAAAGCCGAACATCAACCCAGAAGGAGGTAACATTAAATCCAGCAGGCTTCGTTAGTGGCATGAAATGTCCTATCTGATTTAAATCAAGTGTTTGAACTTCCAGTCCCTTTGGGTAGCAGTTCAAGCGAATTCAGTGAATTATAAATGGCCGGATCTATGACCAAGGACATAATTCAGATTTAAGCAGCTGGGTTCTTCTGCGAAAGCTACCCTGTCCAGGCCCCTATGGACCACCTAGCAGGGCTTGGGGGAAATCTGACACCGTCTCCCTTACGCACTTTTCCTTTCTAAAACTTTCACAGGGAAAATCTCACCCAAATTAGCTCTTAGCAACTGGAGGCTTCCTAGATTGCAGCATTCTGGTTCCTGGTCCAGTTTCATGATGGCCCTTGAACCCTAGGCCTGAGAAATGCTGCTGGTGATCCAGGCCAACAGTGGAGCTAAGGCTTGTGACCATCCCAAGCAGGGAAGGCACAGAGTGAGCAAGCACATCAAACAGGAGAGCTGGCCGGAGACGCGCCTGCCCTGGCGAGAAGCCCAAGGAGATGAAAGACCCTGCAGACAAGGATCCCTTGCCAGCAATAACGCAGCAGCATCTGTGTTTGTTTAAAAGATGTAGAGCGAGAGAGAGTACGATTTTGCTTTCCTGAAACACATTCGGAGCCAATTTCGGCACCCAGATCTTCACAGGAAGACCTCGTGGGGTTCTGCGAGGTGTGAGCGGGCATTAAGGGCAGAATTTCCTGCCTGAACTGAAATTCCAATGATAACTGACATTGGGTTATTATTTTAAAGGAAAGGAGAAACTGCTACACACTTGAGACAGCATGGGCAATCACAGTGGTATATTTATACCAAGTACTGGAAACTCAAGTGCATAAATCAACTTCAGTGGTTCCTAAAGTAGGGTCCCCAGACCAGCAGCAACGGCATCGACTGGGAGGTTATTAGAAATGCACATTCTTGGGCCTCACCCTAGACCTCCAGGGATCAATAGCTCTGTGGTGGGGCCCAGAAATCTGGATTTTGCTTGCAGGTTTAATCCTCTAAGGCATTTTGATCCACACTCGTTTGAAAAACCACTTGAGCACCTTTAAAATTCATCAGCAGAAATCATCTCTAGCCTTGTCAAACACAAGGACTCATTTATTTGTTCCCTATTGATTGCACCTCCCACACGCAAGACACCCTCTGGCTGCAGTCAGAGCTAAGGAGGACGCTCGCTCTGCTGGCCAGGAGTTCTCTGGGTAAATGTGCAAATTGCAGAGCCTGTCCCCCTGTGAGCTTGCTACCAGGATGGCAGGAAGAAAGAGAAACAAACACAATTGCTCGTTTAGCTACACACAGACATCCAGTCCAAGGTCACTCAACTGCATGACTAGTGACATTTTGGGCCAGATGTTTCGTTGTGGAGTTGTCCTGTGCACTGCAGGATGTTTAGCAGCATCCCTGACCTCTGCTCACTAGATGCCAATAATATCCCTCCCTCCAGTCATGACTCCCAAAATTGTCTCCACACATTGCCCAATGTCCCTGGGAGGTAAAATTATCCCAGTTGAGAACTGCTGTGTTAAACTAGAGTGTGCTGGCTCTGGAAGTATAAGCTACATTAGATAGTTGAGCCTCTGGAGTCTATAAAGGTCTAAACTTTATTAGGTACCAATGTCTCCAGAACCCATTTCCCTCCTCCTACTTCCAGCCCACATAGGAAGAAAATAGGCAGATAACCCTAGGTTCCAGGCTACCCTGACCAAGCCAACCCCTTCCTTTACACAAACTTCTGAAACCATGGAACCTGGGACACTAAGAGGCCACGGAATGGCCCTTAAGGAACTTCACCTCTGGAGCTACTACAGTGGCCCCTCAGTCGCTGCACTGCTGGTTTCTTGATTTGTGACAATACCACAAAAGTGTCAGCACAGACAATGCCATGGCATCATCAAATCTGTCCATTCTCCAATCATGTTTGTTTAGAAAACAAAGTTGTTTCTAACAAATTAATATATCGGGAACAATCTGAGCATCATATGAATTTCACTTTTGCTTATGTGCGATGTCATCCATGAGAAACTCCAGACAAATGCAGAAAACTGCACCCACCTGAACCCAATGGGATCAGCATACACAAAATACACCTGTCTGGCCCCCCAAACATCCGCAAGCTACCTCAGTTCATGCATGTGTGAGGAGCCATACCCATCCACACATGCTGTGACCACTTCCCCTTGAGTTCAGGTTCCCCTCCTTCCACCCCTTCCCAGTAATTCATAAGTGGCAGAGCTTGTGGCACTCGTCCCACAGCCAACTTCAGGCCTTTTCAAGATGAAGTGACATATTTCTGTTGTATTTCTTAACCATTTAACTAATGCACAACATGGTACCACCACTTCTTTTTTCAAGACAGGGTCTTGCTCTGCTGTGCAGGCTGGAGCGCAGTGGTACAGTCTTAGGCCACTGCAGCCTTGGATGCCTGGGCTCTAGTGATCCTCCTGCTTCAGCCTCAGGAGTAGCTGGGACGATAGGCACACCTGGCTGATTTCATAAAAGTTTGTTTGCAGAGATAGGGTCTTGCCACTCAGGCTGGTCTCGAACTCCTGGGCTCAAACGATCCTCCTGCCTCAGCCTCCTGAAGTGCTGAGATTACAGGCATGAGCCATATAGCCTGGCTCAGTACTACCATTCTTACTAGGCTCCCACCTCTTTTATGTCATGCATCACTGATGAAGTTTTGAGTATTGTGTAACTAACCTCATTTTTCCCAGAAGTCCTGTAGTTTGCATGGCTCAATTTTTGCATATTGCTATGATTTTGAGGACCGCATAGGCCATGTTATAGCAGAACTGGCTGTACCTCCTCCCTGAGCCAAGTATCACATGGGGTGGGAGAAAAGCAACACCAAGCCCTTTTCCTGTGGCTCCACCCCTTTTTATTCAACCTTCCTCAGCCTAGGCAACAGTCCAGCCTGGACCACCCCCTTCCCTGGCTGCACAGCTACCCAGCCCTAAGCCCCAAGCCCCTGTACATTTCCTTCTCAACACATTCACCATAGCTTACTGTCATTCTCTGTCAAGGACTGTTCCACCCCGTGGCCCTCTACCTCCTTCAGGGCTGAGACCATGTCTCACTCATTTTTTTTCTCCCTAGGTCATTGTGGCCACATGTCCGGCTACTCACCCACTCCGCGTCACCAGACACTGCCGGAGTCCCAGTTTACGGAAGATATCCACCACCGTCTCCATTGGGGTGTGGTCTGTGACTGTGAATGGGCTGAGGTTCAGGATGCGCCGCAGCTTCAGGGGATGTGGGCTGTTGGCTGGCAGCTCAGGGGGCTCCTCTGTGAAGTACATGATGGAATTGCTCACGATGCCCTCCTGCCTCTGTCTGGCATTCTCTAGAATGAATGGGGTGAGCAGGAACAATAAGCCACACAAAAACTCCTTGCTGAGCAACTCCCCACCCTACACTTGTACACAGCATCGAGAATCCCACAGAAAAGGGGTTCGAAGGATGAACCAAACATTCTTAATAAGGGGCTTTAGCCAAACATCTGTGGAATTGGCATCTCTCTGCAGCTAATGCTGTGTGAGGGTCCCCTGCTGTGACTGGATCATTTGTTGCCAAAGTCTGGCAAGATGGGCCTGACCCAGATGGCCCTTTTGGGGACATTCATTGCTTCCCCCCGGACTCCAGGCACCCCAAACAGCCCAGGACCCTCCACTCTGGCTTTCCTTATGCTGCTTCACCTCATCATGGACTGGAGTTTGACGTGACAAGAAACTTACTTAGCTGCCCGATGACCTTAATACATTGATTTTCTTTTTATGAACTAATTTATAACTGGCCCAAATGGCATCATGAATCCTGGGAGGAACAAGAAACCAATACAGCCAGGCCAGGCTCACAGCCCAGAAATGCAGCTCAATCACAAATGTGACCCTTGGGTCCAAAGAAACAACCCCAGAAAAGCTGCATCCCCCCTACACTTTGGATCTCCTGTCTTAAAAATGGGCCATTTCATGGATCTCTCAAAGAAAGATAGTAAAACTGTTATGGTAGCAATTAGCCTATTTCTGTCTGTAGAAAGGCCACGTGAAAGAAAGCTGAAGAAAAGTAGGGTAACAGGAACTCATTAGAAATACAGCTTAATGCGGTGCTAGAAACCCAGGCTATTTTAAGTCACACATGAAATAAATCCATCGGTCTCAAGATATTTCTCCAAGGCGATTTTCCTTCTGTTGGAATTTTAATCTTTCTCTTGGTTCATGGGAAAAGGTTAAGGAAAATGTACAGCAAGGCTTGCTTTAAAATGGATCCTGGTTTCTATCATACATTTCTTGCTTTCTCAAAGACTACTATTCACCTATATTGTTCTTTCAAAAATAAAATTCTAACTGCCTCCTCCAAGGCCATTTAGTGCAATAGAGTACTCTAATGGAAAACTGGCAGCATTTGGGGTCAGGCTGAGTCTGAAAAAGGGTCTCTGTTTAAAAGAGGAACAGAGGGCCTGCTGGGCAAATGCCTGCACATTATATGGGTCAGGTTAAATCAAGTTACATCAAATGGGGTATGATTCTAACACAAATACCAGACAACTTTGATGCACAACATGTTTTCAAATGTAGACTGCTCGATATACACTACGTACTTCTCCCCGAAACCAAGATGATTCTGTCCTTACCCAATAAGGCAGAGAGGCAACTGGCAACACATACTTATTTGCTCATTTCCACAGACCAGCCAATTCTCTTAAAGTCCCACTAACAGGATTTCCATCAATTTCAACCATTGGGAGAATGTCAGGATTGGATCAAGTCACAAACCCCAATCAAGAGTTGATGACATGGATTTGCTGAACTCCTTCTAAAACCAAATACAATTTAATAAATGGTCAATCCACTTGCTACAATACGATAAAAAAACAAGCTTATATCTCATTTGAACCTACGGATTGGGTTAGGAGCCCTGATTCTAACAGTCACTAGGCTCAATGAACTCTTGCTCACCAGTGCACTCCGAGTGTCTGGGCAATGCCTAGCACACAGTAGACACAAAACAGATATTTGCCAAATACACACATGAATGAATGAATGAGTCAGTCTACTAAATGTCAGTGTATCTGGTTCTGCCTGCCACATAAAACTGAACCTATCTCACATAGGAGGCATCAGGAAGGAAAGCCCATGTGGTAATGACTGCCAAACAAAAACATAGGCATTGGCTGGGGTCAGAGCCAGAGAGCTGGGCTATGTACCTTGCTATTCCCACAGTGGCAACTGCTACTCTCCTCAGAAAGGTTCTGCTAGGCCACTTTGGAACTCTATTACAGACTCACAGGAGGCTTCAAACTTTGCCGGTAGAGGTGCTGGGAACAGACAAAAGCCGGTGAATGGAAGAAGAACCAGCAAGAAAGCTCTTTGGAATTCCCTACTAGGGTGAAACATCTACTCTCAGTTTGGACCAGAAATCATCAGACACCAAAATGCCTGCATGTAAGTTCACAGAGGGCAGAGGCAGTGTGCTGTCATCCCTGGACTCCGAGCTTCTAGGATGGTATCAGCACATGGTGGACACTTAAGAAATACTTCCCATGTGAAATGATAAACCAACTAACTCCTCACCCAGGGGATGAGCCAGTGCTACAGGAAAAGAGACTCACAGACCCCAGGAACACTTGGGAGTCTGTGATGAAAAGGAAACCAAAACAATACAACCAAAAATACATCTTTTTAAAAGACCTAAAAGACAAAAAGGAAATGCACTAAATATCAACCATGTCTTCTATAGTGATAAGAATGTAGGTGCCTTTTTAAATTTTTCCCTTTGCTTCTGATTTCCCCAATATTTGGAGTGTGTATTACTTTCACTTTGAAAAAATGTAATAAACTTCATTTTTAAATGTTTTTAAAATGACTTTTTAAAACTGTCTTTAATGTAGGAGGTTTGTCATATATTCTACTAGAATGAGACTCAGTGGTCACAGGTCTTCAAAAAGAATGTACATTTTACGCCAGGCACAGTGGCTCACACCTGTAATCCCAATACTTTGGGAGGCTGAGGCAGGCGGATCACTTAAGGTCAGGTGTACGAGAGCAGCCTGGCCAACATGATGAAACTCTGTCTTTACTAAAAATACAAAAATTAGCCAGGCATGACGGCACGCCTGTAGTCCCAGCTACTCGGGAGGCTGAGGCAGGAGAATTGCTTGAATCTGGGAGGTGGAGGCTGCAGTGAGCCAAGATGGTGCCACTGCACTCCAGCCTGGGAAACAGAGTGAGACTTAGTCTCCAAAAAAAAAAAAAAAAGGAATGCACACATTATGAGCACCTGCTAAGGTTACTTAACATTCCATTGTCTAACAGCAATATGTTCATATGCCAGATGTAGAGATGGTGATTAATAAAGTGTGGGTAAGAGGAATTTCACAAACTATGTGATAGGCCAAGACATTTTTCAAAATTGGAAATAATCACATATTTGTTAGGCTATTGAGTGGCTTTAGAGCAATCATTCTCAACTGGGTGGAGCCCTGGAATGCTGGTCACACTCTACAGGGCACAGGACAGCCCCACCACAGAGAATCACCCAGCCCCAAATGTCAGCAGTGCTGAGGAGGAGCATTCCCACTTGAATTGTGTTTTTAGGGAGGTTAACAGTCTATCATCCTGTTAATTAAAAATGCTTAGTCAGGCATGGTCGTGCAAGCCTGTAGTCCTAGCTTCTCCGGAGGCTGAAGTGGGAGGACTGCTGGAGCCTAGGAGGTAGAGGCTGCAGTGAGCTATGATCACACCATTGCACTCCAGCCTGGGCAACAGAGTGAGACCCTGTCTCAAAAAAAAATTTTTTTAATGCATCCATAAGACAGATATAATTCATGATATAGGTTAAAATGGAAAATTGAAAGCAACCACAGAAGTAGTCAGTACAAAGATGTTATGATAAAAAAGTAAACACTATACAGAATAAAAAGCAGATTATTTGCCGGGCGCGGTGGCTCAAGCCTGTAATCCCAGCACTTTGGGAGGCCGAGGCGGGTGGATCACGAGGTCAAGAGATCGAGACCATCCTGGTCAACATGGTGAAACCCCGTCTCTACTAAAAATACAAAAAGTAGCTGGGCATGGTGGCGCATGCCTGTAATCCCAGCTACTCAGGAGGCTGAGGCAGGAGAATTGCCTGAACCCGGGAGGCGGAGGTTGCGGTGAGCCGAGATCGCGCCATTGCACTCCAGCCTGGGTAACAAGAGCGAAACTCCTTATTCAAAAAAAAAAAAAAAAAAAAAAAAAAGAAAAGCAGATTATTTTACAAGTTATTGTCTGTCTACTAAAGCATGGAGAAATCCCTCTATGTGTGTATGTATATATATAAACATCCCCAACAGAAAGATGTAGAGGACACCACTGTTCTCCACGACCTAGTCCAGTATCTAACAGCCCTCCCGGGCATAAACCTCTTTCTCCCTTGTCTGACAGATCTGACACTTCTTGTTCAGTGCTGGATGTAGACCACTTTCTGCAAGTAAGCATCTTCTACATGCTGGAGGATCATTATTATTGGGTTGGTGCAAAGTAATTGTGGTTTTTGCCACTGAAAATAACATCAAAAACTGTAATTACTTTTGTACCAACCTAATAAATCATCCACCAGCCCAAAAAAACCTGAGAGTTTCCTTAACTCTTCGCTGAAACTCCAACTTCCCACCCTTTAATCATCTCTGTGACTCCCCACTGAGTCCTCTTTGAACCCTTACTTAACTGCTGAACTCAAGATGAGAAGCACCTGAGCCCTGCTGAGTACAGATGAGTCCTCATATTTGCAAAGAGCAATGAGAGGTAAAGGCCTATTTGCCAGGAATTTGAACAAGAGTCACATACAGCCCCATGTGCTAGTATGTGACGGTGAAGAGAGTCACGTTGCCCAGATGGTGCTAACCAGTGCTAACAAAGATAACGCTATGCTTTGGCATTCCAAAACATAACAAAACATTTTCAGCTTCGTGTGAGCAGTTGCTACAATTTTTAAACATATGTAAGAAAAATTCTTCTTTACCTCACTTACCTTTCTTTTCTGATCCAGACTATCTTGGATCTAACTGTCTACAATCTTTGCTCCCACTTCCTCTAGAAAGTGAAAGTGGCATGGGATAGTGTCTAGCTAAATGCTGTCATATTTCTATACTCATAAAATGGCACAAGATTCCTCAAATATAGGTCATACACCTGTATTTATCCACCAGAATACAGGGGCTTTTCTATTTCCACAGGCCAGAAAAACAGCTTTTTTGATTCCTCAGAGCAAAATACCCCTTGCCTTTGCACAAACCAAGTAAATAGCACCTTCTATATTATTATCAGTCTGATTGAAAGCATACAGGTACTATTTACACCGTGTGGTGCCTCTTCAGACATTCCAAACACAGCTTCTAGGAGAATGCTTGGTTGGTAAGTTTAAATTTCTTCTCTAACCGATTGATGACAATTACTGCTTCCCACTTGATTACAGTAATAGGTTTCAGCAAAATTAGTAAGCTGCGTCTTAGCAGGTGTGCCTGGACCTATACAATAGATAATAGATTCTGTGACATTTATTATCTTAGTTTTAAAATTTCAACCTTTGCTTAAAAGATTCTAGGGAATGAATAAAATTTTTAAAGGCTGCTGATTATAGTACTTTTAAACAAACCCAACCCTACTTAAACAACTCTAAAACACTCATTATTTATAAGGCAATATTTACACAAAGGCACCTACCTACCTGTTAAGCAACAGGACCTGTAGCAAGGAAAAGCATCGCTGAACACTTGCTACGGTGTCTAAAACACAAAATCAATTTTTGCTTTGGGGAAGGTAAAAATGTTTGAGTGTCAAGCTAAAATGGGAGGGAACAGCTCATCTAAACTTATTTTTATAAAGCCTTTGATGAACATGCCTTAAAGATATTTTAAAGCTATTTAACATTGGGAAGAGGTTTTAGAAATCGAAGGGAGGTGCCTTGGAAACAGGAAACAAAGGTCAGGGAGATAAGTAAGCAGTTGCATGGTGGAAATGTGTTCACAGTGGGCTATTCCAACATCAGACCAGGAAAAGTCCCATTGACAAGCTGCAAGAATACTCTGAAAGATGTAGAGTAAAACTGTGGTGTGCACACGGGAGCCATACCATGGGCCTTGGTCTATTATGAGATGCTGGAATGTTGTACAGATCGCAGAGCAAGGATGCTGAGCAGGACGACACATGCATGTGCCATGTGCCCGTGGATGTGCTATGCTGGTCCTTACCCCTGCCACCTTGAGGCCTGGCATGACTCTACCCCTCCAAGGTTCACTGCTCCTCCTTGCCTGCAATCCCAGCAACTCACAACCAGACCTCTGGCTCTCAGCCGCGTCTGTCTTAGGAATTTTCCTACCTCCTGCTTACCCTTCTGATGGAGCCATCCCTAGGCTGATGGGGCCCATGGGCTTACTTCTCTGAGCCGCCTGTCTTTGGAACACCCTGACCTGGGCATCATCCCATACTCTCCTCCCCCAACTCAACAGCCTGGCCCTCAGTGCAGCTGATTGTCATTCAAACACAAGAGGAAAGTAATCTCACAAAATTGGTTCCAGTGATGTCTGCGCATTTACCTGCAAGGGCCTCTAACTGTGGAATCCAACGTCATATCATAAAGTGAAGCAACAGACTTGTGTGGTGGCAAGGGGTGTCAGGGGCAGAGAACTCACAATCTCAGCCAGATGGCTGTTCCACCTGAAAGTCTCTGAGACAGCTCTGCCTGGGCCACTCTAGGCTGTCCTCTCTTCCTTTTCAGCTTTAGCCAACAATTGCTGAAAGGTGGCAGCAGAGCAAGGCCAGGGGGCTGCCTGCAAACATGCAGTCACTTTCTAACCAAGAATGTCTACCCAAGACTTGGGTTTAAAGCCTTTTTCCTCAGAGTGTGACATGTGGACCAGCAACATCAGCATTAATGGAGAACTTGTGAGGGATGTACTCTTGGGTCCCCCCCAAGCTCTGCAGAATCAGAATCTGCTTTTGAGCCAGACCCTTGGGTGACCAGAGACATGTGAAAGCTTGAGAGCCCCTGGCTTAATGCACATAACCTCAAAAATCTTGGATAATGCTAGGGGTACAAAGTATACCATTCAGCTCTTGGCAAAACGTGAGCTTCCCTCTCTTTACTCACTTATTGCGAGAATAAGTTCCCTTCTCTGGGCAAATCCAATGAGGCGCTCGGAGTCTCTGGAGACCACCACAGGGAAGCCATTGTAGTCAGTCTCCTTGATGAGCGTCTCCACATCTTCGACGGTCATGCTGTCCTGGGTGAGCACTGACAGTGGCGGCTCTCCCCGCCGAGGCCGCATGACATCAGTGGCCAGTGTGCGGTGGGTAAATTCATCCTTAACGTCGAGGAAAGGGTACCCATTTAAGTGGATGTGGGCCTCGTAGATGCCTTCTTTCCCAAATGCATCAGCTACCCACTTGCTGGTCACAGCTGCCGCCATCAGGGGCACAATGTATTCCAGACCCCCTGTTAATTCAAACATGATGACCACCAATGACACTGTCATCCTGGTAACTCCACCTGCAACAGAGGGGAGGAGTAAGATTCCAAAGTGCAACCGGGGCAGCTCATAAGGCCATGATTTGGGGAAAATGACCAACAGGCTGTAAATTCCCATCACACCTGTTCTGAGCAGACACTCTCATATGCTTCCTGCACAGGGCCTCTGGAACCCAGGCCAGGCCCTGTCAAATGTGGCTTTGCACTGGGGAGCCAGAAGTCGCATCTCACTGGGGCCTCTGCTCCAGTCAGGGATGTTGTGTTGTGTATTCACCCTGGCCCACACAGCTAGCTTTTTGGTGAGTGGATCCTACATGGACTCTACAAGCTTCTGACTAAGCAAGCATGGTGCTCTTCCAGAACCCCATAAACTAGAAAATCACAGAGATTCTTAAGGATTATAGACAGGATACAGACCCATCTTTGTGACCCTGAATGATTAGGTGGAGAAGAACCTTCTGCTAAACCATGTTTTTAATTTGCAGACGGTCCCAACCTACAATGGTTCAACTTATGACTTTTCAACTTTCCATGGTACAAAAACAACCGGCATTCAGTAGAAACCATGCCTCCAGTACCCAGGCAACCATCTCTTCTCACCTTCAGTATTCAATACATTACAAGAGATGTTCAATTTTATTATAAAATAGGCTTTGTGTTAGATGATTGTGCCTAGCTGTAGGTGAATGTAAGTGTTCTGAACATGTTTAAGGTAGGCTAAGCTAAGCTACAACGTTTAGTAGGTTAGGTGTAGTCAATGCATTTTCAACTTATAATATTTTCAACTCATGATGCCATTGATCAGGACGTAAACCTCATCATAAGTTAAAGGTATCTGTGTGTGTGTGTGCATAGTGAGCAAGATATAAGCCTTGGTGTGTTAAGCCACTATGGTTTAGAGGTTTACTTGTTATAGCTGCACAACCTAGCCTAACCTGAGTAATGAAAATGTTCAAGTCCATGTCTTTCTTCTTGGCAGTCCTCTAAGCCAGATCAGTTCCCCAGTCCCCCTCCCTGCCCAACCGTGGTCGTACCAAGGCAGGCCGCAGCCCCCACCATTGCGTAAAGCCCTGGTGTGACACAGTCTGCACCGGGTCTACACCAGTTCCTGAAGATGATCCAGTCGTGGTGATGGTATGCCAGCTGCTCCACACCAATTCCCACCATCCTGCCTGCTATCGCGCCCACAGCCATGCTGGGGATGAAGAGGCCCGACGGGATCTTGAGGAGACACAGAGAAAAGCGACATGAGAGAAGGAGACTGAGTCCCCGCTTCACAACCCCCAGGAAACACATTCCCCCTTGACAGGCTTGCATTTAGCTTCAGTCTTCAGAGGAGGTGCAACTCTGCAAAATAGGTCAGCTGGGGAAAGGTGGGACGAATGATTTGACCTGCTTAGTCAGTCATATCTACTGCAACTTAGACAGAACGCAATTTTATACTTTGATTCCCTCTCCTTCAAAAGCTGGCTGGGTTTGCCTGCTGTGGATTAAAGAATGATGATCCCCACTGCAAATAACATTGAAAGTGAGCATCTGTCACTTGAAACACCACTTTCTCTCTCCCCTTGCCATGTCATTCAGAATGGCTTTTAAAATTAAATGTCAAGCCACAGCATGAAAATGGAAAAGAAGGACCTGCGACTGCTCCCAGGTAAAATAAAGAAGCTGAATTCATCATTGCAGCCACCCTGATCTTCCAGAAAGCACTTCAATGGCTCCCTGCCCTCTCTAGTAAGTGGTGGCTGAACACCCATCAGAGAGAGCCAAGGGAGGCAATTTCCTCTTCCTAATGCAGTGCATTTTCCAATAAGCATTCTGAATATTTTCAAGCCAGGGTAGGGGCAGCAAACAAATAGAATGCAAACTGAAAGATTTTGGTAGCAGCGTGTTCTCTATTCTCCTGGATGAAAATGCATTTTAGTTTATTTAGTGACCACACGTGTGCTATAGAACATGCCTGACTCCCTGTGTTCACTGAAATAACATGTGACCGCTGACCCTGGGCAGCAGCTGCAATGATGCCCGCCCTAGGTGTTCACCCAGCTGAGGATGGAAGCAGATCTTTAACTTAATTCAAGTGAAGTTTGGATCCTTGTGCCTGTAATTTCTAGAGTTAAAACATTTCTTAGGAAATTGTTCCTTTCTGAGCTTCTCCTTATTCTACGTCATTTATATCCCTGTAACATCAAAGGAGATTTTTCTCAGCAAGCATCATAAAATGTTACCAGCATCTTCCTGAGACACAAAAACAAATCCCTTTGCTAGGAGATGACAGATCAGAGGCAGTCAGCTGTTTAATAAGGTCCACCTGTCCTTGTTCATAAGGCACAAATTCAGGTTTGTATTTGGCCACTACGCACTCAAGTAAATAACTTCTTAGACTTTTTTTTTCTTTTTTCTTTTTTTTTTTTTTTTTTTTGAGACAGAGTATCTGTTGCTCTGTTGCCCAGGCCCATGTGCAGTGGTGTGATCTCAGCTCACTGCAGCCTCCGCCTCCCAAGCTCAAGCAATTCTTGTGCCTCAGCCTCCCGAGTAGCTGGGACCACAGGCACATGTCACCATGCCCAGCTAACTTTTGTATTTTTAGAAGAAATGGGGTATCACTATGTTGGCCAGACTGGTCTTGAACTCCTGACCTCAAGTGATCCACCAACCTCAGTATCCCAAAGTGCTGAGATTACAAGTGTGAGCCAGCGTGCCTGGCCATTAGATATTTTTTTAAAAAGGCAATTCAGGTTGGGTGTGATGGCTCATGCCTATAATCCTAGCACTTTGGAAAGCCAAGGTGGGTGGATCACTTGAGCCTAGGAGTTCCCAATGGGCCTGGACAACATGGCGAGATCCCATCTCTACAAAAAATACAAAAATTAGCTGGGATTGGTGGCGCATGTCTGTAGCCCCAACTACTCAGTGGGCTGAAGCAGGAGGATCACTTGAACCCAGTAGGTCAAGGTTGCAGTGGGCCATGATTGTGCCACTGCACTCCACCCTGGGCAAAAGAGCGAGACCCTATGTCCAAAAAAACAAGAGACAATTCAGGCAGGGAAAAATGGCTCATGTGTGTAATCCTAGCACCTTGGGAGGCCAAACAGGAGGATCACTGGAGCTCAGGAGTTTGAGACCACCCTGGGCAACATAGGGAGACTTGGTCTCTATTTTATATTTTTAATAAAAACAAATAAAATTTAAAAGACAATTCATAGAAATATCACACAGAAAGCAATCATAATGGAACACAAAAGGGGGTTTTGCGGTATGGATCATGTTCTGCTTCTGGTCCTGGGTGCTGGTTACACAAGTGTGCATGTTTTATGAAACCATCAAGCTGTACACTTCTCTATATGAACAATATACTCTAATAAAAGTTTCTTTAAGTAAGCAATGATACCATTATCCATAATAGCCAAAAGGTGGAAACAAATGTCCATCAAAGGATGAATTAATAAACAAAATGTGAGATCTCCGTATCATGGAATACTATTCAGCCATAAAAATGAAGTAGTGGCACACGCTACAATGTGAATGAACCTTGAAAACAAGGTGCTAAATAAAACAAACCAGTCACCAAAGGCCACGTATTGTTTGATGTCATTTATATGAAGTGTCCAAAATAGGCAAATCTAGAGGCGGAACAGATTAGTGGTTACCAGGGGCTGGGGGAGGGAAAAATGGGGAGTAACTGCTAATGGAGGTGGGATTTCCTTTTGGGGGATGAAAATATTCTAAAAGCTAAATAAAGGTGTTGGTTGCACAACATTGTGAATGTACGTAATGTCACTGAACTGTATACTTTAAAATGATCCTTTATGTTTTGTGGATTTTACAATTCAAAAAAAAAAAAAACAATAACAACTTAATTCCAGGTTCCATAAAAGAAAGCTCTTTAGGAGGGGCTTTTAAAGTATTTTAACATAATGATTTTAAACCAATGAAAGAAGAAAGCAGCTGTCTCTTCTCTGGCTTTAGGAACAAGAATAATGGAAGCATGTACTGTTGGGTGTGGTGTGGTGGCTCATGTGATCCCAGTGCTTTGGGAGGCTGAGACAGGAGGATCGCTTGAGCCCAGGAGTTTGGGACCTGCCTGGGCAACACAGAAAGACCCTCATCTGTACAAAAAAATTTAAAAATTCACCAACTGTGGTGGTTCATGCCTATGATCCCAGCTGCTTGGGAGGCTGAGGTGGGAGGATGCCTTGAGCCCATGAGGTTGAGGCTGCCGTGAGCTGTGATCATGCCACTGTATTCCAGCCTGGGCAACAGAAAAGGATGGAGGAGGGAGGGAGGGAGGGAGGGAAGGAAGGAAGGAAGGAAGGAAGGAAGGAAGGAAGGAAGGAAGGAAGGAAGGAAGGAAGGAAGGCAGGCAGGCAGAGAGAGAGAGAGAGAGGAAAAGAAAGAAAGCATATGTTGTCATCCACAGCTCTGCCCTTCAAAGAGGATGTGTGCAAAGAGCCCATCATGCCCAGCCCTACCCAGACAGGGGATGCACTCACTCTGTGCTCCCGTTATACCAGTGTGGTGCTCGCCACAATGTCAGAACTCTGGGTCTGCATCTCTCTCTCCCAGAGCTGTGTGCTCTGCAAAGGCAGCTTCTCTGTTTGGGGATCTGTATCCCTCAGACTCAGCACGATGCCTAAGATGTAGCTGATACTCAGTGCATGTTTACTGAGCCAAACTGAGCCAAACCTGGGCTTTTTCCACCACCTGGCATCGCCTGGCCAGAAGCAGGAAACCTGTGGTTACCACCACCTGTTCTGGGAATGTGTGAAGTGGGTTTGATGCCTAGCTCTGTCTCCCATAGCTGTGGGTCTGATCAAGCCACTTAAGATCTCATAGCCTTAGTTTCCTCACTTCTAAAATAGGAACATCAAGTGCCTGGCACATGAGAACATTCAAGAAAGGCCAGTTCCCCTTTTTCCCATCGCAATTTTATTTTAGAGAATAGGGTGCTGTCCCCAGAAGGACATGAGAAGGACATGGGTCCCACCCCATCTTCCCTCCCTTTCACTTACCTTCATGCCAAAGGTAAATATGGTAACGACTATTTTGAAGATCAGTGCCAGGGCCAGCTGCCACATGGCTGTGTAAACACCGACACCAGCTGGCCGGTCTGGAATGTCATCCACTGGCCGAGTCATGTTGGGGTCGTTGATGTAGTCACAGAGCTGGGAAGACTCAAGGGCCCCACAGTCATTGAACAGCTCAGAAATGAGCTCGCTGGTGCTCTGGCGTGTGTAGGGATTGGGGTAGGCAACGATGGCAGTGATGGCGGTCACCACAATGACCTCCAGCACTGGGTACTTCCCCAGCCTGGTGGTCTTGCGCCTTCTGCACCAGGCAATGTTGCAGCGGATGAAGAGGGTTCCCCATAAGCCCCCGAAGACCCCAAGTAGGATGAAGGGGAAGAGTTCAGCCATGTACCAGGGTGTGTGATATTCCACGTAAAAGAGAACAAGACGGCTATTTCCAAAGGGATTGATCGATCGCAGCGTAAAGGCCGCCACCAGCGCTGCGAAAAATGACCTCCACAAGGTCTTCAGGGGAAAGTAGTAACTGACCTGAGATGAAAAAGTAGAAAATTAGAGACTGGGCGGAGAAAGAGCTGCTCAGAGCCAGGCCCTCTGGTTGACATGAAAGTCACACTCTAAGTCCAAGAGTGGACACATTCACTCCATCAGCCTGGAATTAATATGACCAAAATGTACCAGCAAAGATACTTAGACAAAGTATCTTTGTCTAGAAGTGGAATGGACACTAATCAAGGTGGGTTTGAGCTATATTTTTAAAAGAAATAAAAGTATTTGATCATAATTCTGTTTATGGCACAGAGGCTCCCCTAGAAGCAAATAAGTCTCGGATTGGATTCTACAGACAACAGAGTAGATCAGAGTTTGGAAAACTCTGGGCTGCAAGTCAACTGCAGCCCAGGGAATGCATTTCTATGGCACACGAGTTAAGAATTGTTTTACATTTTTAATTGACTGAAAAAGGGGAAAAAATCTTTTGATTTGAATTATTCAAAAGAATAATAATATTTTGTGACGTGAAAACTATAAAATTCAGATTTCGGTGTCCATAAGGAAACATCTATGGAAATACAGACATGCCCATTTGCGTATGTATTGTTCACAGCTGCTCTCACACTATGATGGCAGAGCTGAACAGCCTCGACAGAAATTGTATGGCCCACAAAACCGAAAACATTTACTACCTGGCCTTTTATGGAAACATTTGCCAACCTCTGGAATAATCCATTTGGGTTACCAAAACCAAAAATGCTTAATTAAGTTGGTTATGAGAAAGAGAGAGGATGCTGTAAATCTTCAAAAAAAAAATCACCTTGGCAATTTTTAAAATAATACTCAAAAACAGGAATTTAACAGTGGTGGCTAGGTGCGGTGGCTCACGCCTGTAATCCTAGCACTTTGGAAGGCCCAGGTGGGTGGATCACCTGAGGTCAGGAGTTCGAGATGAGCCTGACCAATATGGTAAAACCCCGTCTCTACTAAAAATACAAAAATTAGCCAGGCGTGGTGGCATGCGCCTGTAGTCCCAGCTACTCAGGAGGCTGAGACAGGAGAATTGCTTGAACCCAAGAGGTGGAGGTTGTAGTGAGCCGAGATCACACCACTGTACTCTAGCCTGGGCGACAGAGCAAGACTCCATCTCAGAAAAAAAAAAAAAAAAAAAGTGGAAATTGTGGCTTCTTAATTAACTGCAGGAATCTTATCCAATACAGTACTTCTTTTATTCTAACCGTTCAAAGAGCCTTGCTGCTCAAAATCATGAATTCCCTCAGCTGCCCATTCTTACCTCTTCTAGACTGAAAAGCACGCCTCCAATTGGTGCACCAAAGGCAACAGAGACTCCGGCAGCCGCTGCTGCTGAAAGCACCTACAAAACAAGTAGTTCTACATAAGCTTCGAGGCCTTCCATGAAAACAAATGTGCAAACCTGCAGGTCAGACAGCAGGTGGGGGCTTCAAGAAGAAAGTTTTGCCGCAGATGGAAGCTGAGCTGGCTCACCTCTCGCCTCTTGCCCTCATTCTTGCTGTACTTGGAGAAAAGGCTGCTGAAGAAGTTGCCACAGCAACAAGCCACGTGCACTAGCGGCCCTTCCTTCCCAAGGCTCAGGCCAGAGGACACTACCAGCACCAGCGTGACTGTCTTGATTAGCAGGGTCCACTTCCCCAAGTAACCCCTGATGATGAAGCCACTCAAAATAGTCTTTATCTGAAACAGAGGATAGAGAACAAGAGGGAATGAACTATTTCAACCCATGGCTAGGAAAAGAACTGTAATTCCTCTGAGGAACATGTTCAAAGTTTAGATTCACTCAATAGCATGGAACAGAGGCCATTTTCATTTTTGATTTAACTATAATTTTATATTAATTAAAACATAAAAAATTCAATGCATGGTAAATCTTAAGGATTCCTAGAGTACCAAAAGATCCTAAAGAGGACTGAATCAATCATTATCAAGGTCTTGCTTGACTTATGGCATTTTATCCCATTCACACTACCTTTTGTTATGATGAGAAGAGACATATACGTATTGATGTTAACTGTTAACTTTTGACTCTGAAAAATATCCTAGATAAAGAGATGAAGAGCTGGCTGACTAAGTGACAAGGCAAGGAGAGGGAAGTAGTTAAGAATATGGTACCCCCAGCCAGGCACAGTGGCTCACACCTGTAATCCCAGCACTTTGGGAGGCCGAGGTGGGAGGATCACTTGAGCCCAAGAGTTTAAGACCAGCCTGGGTAACACAGAGAGACCCCCATCTCTGCAAAAAAAGTTTTAAAAATTAGCTGAGCATGATGGCATGCACCTGTAGTCCTAGCTACTTGGGAGGCTGAGGTAAAAGAATTGCTTGAGCCCGAGAGGTCAACGCTGTAGTGAGCCATGATCACACCACTACACTCTAGCCTGGGTGATGGAGCAAGATCTTTTTGTTAAAAATACATATATCACCCCAAAATATGCCACTCTGGCAAACTACTGACTATTTTGGGCTAAAAGCACTTGAAAAACAGCAGGTGGAAGATAACCTGACCTTCATTCTGTTTCTTAAAAGCAGGAGATGAAATTCCCATGTGAAAGATGCCCTTCCTATACTAAAAGGAAGCATCATTCCTGTCATCAAGAACAGGAAGTTGAGGCTGAGGGAAATCTGCACAAACCAACCTTGTTAGACTAACCCTCATCCTCCTGGCCATTTCACCCAGCTAACACCCCTAGCCCAGGCCCCTCTGCCTTGTCACACTTTGAAAGATTACTACTTATCGAATTCAGCATGTAAGTGTTCAACCTTAACTTTAACTTCGTCTTTGGATCTTCACTCTTTATGAAGGCTCTCATGTCACGTAAAACTCATATTAAATAAACTTGTATGCTTTTCTCCTGCTAATCTGTCCTATATGTCAATTTAATTCTCAGGCCCAGCTGCAAACCCCTAAAAAATGGTTTGCCCCTACAAAAGCAAAATGTCAATTGAACTTTAGGTCAGGAGTTGACAAATTATAGCCTGTGGTCCAAATCTGGCCAACTGACTATTTTTGTATGAACCACGAGCTAAGAATAATTTTAACATCTTTAAAAGTAGTATGTAAAAAAAAGACTACTAGCCTTCTGGTGAGAATAGTTGCTCCATCTTGCTCCTTGGCCTCCAAGGTTTAATGTATTGACTGTCTTTCTTTTATAAGAAAAGTTTGCCAACCCCTGCTGGAGGCGATGAATTAATGAATATTTACTGTCCAATTCTGTCAACTTTTCAATATGTTTGAAAATATTCTTAATGGTAGAAAACGAAGAAGACACTCAACATTCCAATAACACAGGTTTAGGGGACGTAAAGATGTTTGAATCCATGATGACCCTTTTCTCTTCTGTCAAATCCTACCCTCTTGTATTGTAAAGGACTTTGACTATTGGGAGCATTATCTTGCTGCATTTCCAGAACTCGTGCATTTTGTAAATACCAAATAATAGCTTTATTCCTAAAGGTTCACTTGAGTCTTTGCCTAATGCTTTTAGAATTTAACTGGGTACATATCTCAATGATTAACTTCATACACCAAGATCCTCTCCTCTGCCAAAATGTATTCTTCTGGATATAGAAACATCATCAATGACCAAATTACTTTTCTACCTCCAACCACTACCCCAATTGGGTGAAATGGTGCGAATGTTTACTGCTGAGCTAGCAACTTACAAGCCTGTAATCACAGATTAATTAGACACCAAGTGAGTCAGTCAATGGAATCTGTGGTCAATTTCTGGTCTTCCCATTATGTAATATGTAATGGGACAAGGTTATCTCTTGTCAGTGTCATTTACATAACTTCAAAACACCTCCTTGTGGGCATTGCTCTGCCAAGTTATCAATTTCTCAAATAGCTACCACAGTCATTCTCAACCTTGGCACTCATCAGAGTCACCTGGGGAATTAGAAAACTCTGCAGACTGGCTCTCCCCTCAGAGATTTGGCATAATTGGTCTGAGGTGAATCCAGGATATGAGGATTTTTACAGCCTCCATAGGTGAGTCTAAAATGCAGCCCAAGTAGAGAGCACTGCTTGACTCCTGAAAAGAGCAGCACAATAGAGCATTTAAGGGACAACCCTGAAACACTCATTGTTCTTTCACCAACTCCTTCTACTGAGCATCATGTCACCTTGAGCGATTTGGGGAGGGTCATGAAGAGCGCTCATCCAATAGTGTCTATGTTCCCAAGGGACTTAGTGAGCGCCTTCTAACAGAACATGTTCGAGGTCTACTAGCTATACAGTCAGATGGTGTTTCCTGAACTAGCCTTGAACTCGTGGCTGACAAACTGGTGTTGGTTAGACCCATCCTTAACTAGTGGTAGTTAGCTTAATTGAGCCTCTGCTCTGGGATCTCAGATCCCTTTATTTAAGGGATGTTTTATTATGCCTGCCACAATCCTGCCCTTTTGTGTTGCCTTGAATAAAATTATCTATAATTTTTTGTCAGTTAGTTAATGTGGATTTAGACCCCAGGGTACAGTTTAAAAGCGTAATACCATTTAGAAAATTACAAGCATCTAAATTACCTGAGCCTTTGCCAGCCATGACATATGGTGAATTGAACAATGTAATAGGTATTTTGTAATTCTCTAAAATGATTTTATAAAATTATCATGATCAAATTAGGGACTAAAGAAGACAAATTCATTCCCAGTAGATGGCAAAATCCAATCACTTGCTTTAATTTGAATTCATAAAGTCTGAAGCGAGCAGGGCTTTAATGAGATGTACTGCAGCAGATTTGTGACTTCGTGGTGTTAATCTGAAAATCAGAACTCTTTCCGATAAATAAATATTTGTAAGAGTGTTTGCGTTTTTCAATAAACTGAAACATCGACACAGAGTAAGTTCTGAGAGGGTATGATTTCTCATACAGTTGACATGACAGTGGTTCCACTGACAAAAGGAAGCAAGTAGAAAGAGGACACCCTTAGCCAGCTTTCTCTCAAGTTCCAAGTGCAACAAGCTGTAAGTATTCACTTTTTTTCTTTTTCTTTTCTTTTTTTTTTTTTTTTGAGGCAGGGTCTGGCTCTGTCACCCAGGCTGTAGTACAGTGGCACAATCACAGCTCACTGCAGTCTCAACCTCCTGGGCTCAAGTGATCCTCTCACCTCAGCCCCCAGAGTAGCTGGGACTACAGGCATGTACCACCACGCCTGGCTAATTTTTTTTTTTTTTTTTTTTGAGACAGTCTTGCTCTGTCATCCAGGCTGGAGTGGTGCAGTGGTATGATCGCAGCTCATTGCAATCTCCACCTCCCAGGTTCAAGTGATTCTCATGACTCAACTTCCCAAGTAGCTGAGATTACAGGCATACACCACCATGCCCAACTAATTTTTGTATTTTTATTAGAGACAGGTGTTTTGCTATGTTGGCCAGGCTGGTCTTGAACTTCTGGCCTCAAGGGATCCACCCACCTCGGCCTCCCAAAGTGCTGGGATTACAGGCATGAGCCACTGCTTCCTGCCACTAATTTTATTTGTATTTTTTGTAGAGTTGAGGTCTTACTATGTTGCCCAGACTGGTCTTGAACTCCCGGGCTCGAGCAATCTTCCCACCTGTGCCTCTCAGAGTGCTGGGATTACAGGCAAGTATTCACCTTTAAATGTGCTTTATAGAACTTTTATGGAGAGCATTTATTACATAGAAAGAAAAGCCCTTCTTTAAATTTGCTTTTTTTTTTTTCTTTTTTAGAAACAAGGTGTTGTTCTGTCGTCCAGGCTGGAGTGCAGTGGTGCGATCATAGCTCACTGCAGCCTCGAACTCCTGGCCTCAGGCAATCCTCCCACCTTAGCCTCCCAAGTAGCTGGGATTACAGGCATGAGCCCCCATAACTGGCCTAAACTTGCATTTTTAAAAATGTTTCCAAAGGCATTTTCACTCTAAGTAATAAAAATGTTTTGGAAGCAAATGCTAAGGAGGATGAACAATTTTTTAAATGTGCATAAGTACATCACATTCAAAGTTCGTTCTTACACAGCATGCCATATAGCAGCTTACAGCAGATCACCTCAGACAATGATAAACATATTTTCTAAATAGTATCTTTGCTAGAACGAAGAACAGCTTCATGTCTCAACTGAAGTCAGTTTCCATATTTAGTTGGGTGTTGACTGGGAGGAGATTCTTTTTTACCCATGAATAATTTACTTACATTTACTTTTTACTCTGCCCCTCTCCTCTAAGAACTGGGAAAAATACTGCATTCTTAGGTTAAGAATTTCCAGCTCTACTATAATAACAGGGAAGACCTTGTTATTGCTGAGTCAAACCTCCATTTGGTTTCTGAAACTTCTTTAAAAGACTGTTATGAGCCGGGCACGGTGGCTCACGCCTGTAATCCCAGCACTTTGGGAAGCCAAGGCAGGCAGATCACAAGGTCAGGAGTTCAAAACCAGCCTGGCCAACATAGTGAAATCCCATAGCTACTAAAAATACAAAAATTAGCTGGGTGTTGTGGCAGGCACCTGTAACCCCAGCTACTCAGGAGGCTGAGGCAGGAGAATCACTTGAACCTGGGAGGCAGAGGTTGCAGTGAGCTGAGACCACGCCACTGCACTCCAGCTTGGGTGACAGAGTGAGACTGTCTCAAAAGAAGAAAAAAGATCATTATGAACTATTTTGGAAAGAGAGAAATGAATCTATCATATACTTATATATACTTAAAAGAATATTAATAAAACAAGTACCTATGTGCCCACTACCAAGTTTAGGAAACAGAAGAGTGGCTACCTTGTGTTTTCCTCCCCAGTGGAACCTTCCTCCTTTCCCTCACCACTTCCTGCCACTTCTTCATCTTTCTCTATAGTTTTAGCAGATACATTGTTTCATTTTAGCTGTTTATAGATGCTCTATCAAGCATACTTTATGTATTCTTATGCAACTTGCTTTTTCACTTAACATCACATTTGTTGGCTTTATCCACGTCTATGTATAGCTTGTACTTTTGTAACATAAGAAACAAGGGCTTGGCTAGGTGCAGTGGCTCACACCTGCAATCCCAGCATTTTGGGAGACTAAGGCAGGCAGATCACCTGAGCCCAGGAGTTTGAGACCAGTCTGGGCAACATGGCGAAACCCCACCTTTACAAAAAGTACAAAAATTAGCGGGGCATGATGATGCACACCTATAGTCTCAGCTACTCAGGAGGCTGATGCAGGAGGACTGCCTGAACCTGGGAGTTCAAAGCTGCAGTGAGCTGTGATGGTGCCACTGCACTCCAACCTGGGAAACAGAGTGAGATGAAAGGAAAGGGGAAGGGAAGGGGAAATAAAAAAGAAAGACAGACAAGATGGGAAGCAGAAAGGGGGAAGGGGGAAGGGGAAGGGGAAGAGAAGGGAAGAAGAGTGCCAGGCGCAGTGGCTCACGCCTGTAATCCCAGCATTTAGGGAGGCCGAGGTGGGCGGATCTCCTGAGGTCAGGAGTTCGAGACCAGCCTGACCAACATGGAGAAACCCCATAACTACTAAAAATAGATAATTAGCCAGGCATGGTGGCGCATGCCTGTAATCCCAGCTATGAGGCAGATTTGCTTGAACCCAGGAGGCAGAGGTTGCGGTGAGCTGAGATTGCACCATTGCACTCCAGCATGGGCAACAAGAGTGAAACTCTGTCTCAAAAAAAATAAAAATAAAAAAAGGAAGGAAGGAAGGAAGGGAGGGAGAGAGGAAAAAAAGAGAAGGGAAGAGAAGAGAGAGGGAAGGAAGGAAGGAAGGCAGGCAGGCAGGCAGGCAGGCAGAGGCAGAGGCAGGCAGGCAGGCAGGCAAACGGGCAGGCAGGCAGGCTCAACTCAGTATTTTACCCCTTCTGAGTTCAGCTACCACCAATAAAGATGCCCACTTTGGATGACAACAAAGTCCAGCCAGTACCGCAAAGACAGAACTCATATTTGAACTCCTTGTCTATAAGGACACCGGCTGAGCCATACATCTACAGTTCTTGGAAGGGAGAGATGGGACTGCCCAGCATACCTCTTACTGCTTCTATTTTCTACCAATTCCCCATTGGCCATTTCCTTATTTGGGAAATGCTTGAGTCAAAAATGCTTACTGTTGGGCAGTGGGATCACAAACTGAGATGCTTTTGACATCAAATAAAATAGTTCAGTTATGACACTTGGTTGGAAAATGCAAATTTGCCTCAAGCACTGTGGCTCATGCCTGTAATCGTAGCACCTTGGGAAGCCAAGGCAGGAGGATTGCTTGAGCCCAGAAGTTCAAGACCTGCCTGGACAACATAGAAAAGCCCTACAAAAAATACAAAAATTAGTTGGGCATGGTGGCACACACCTGCAGTGCCAGCTCCACAGGAGGCTGAGGCAGGAGGATCACTTGAGCCCAGGAATTTGAGACCAGCCTGGGCAAAGGAGTGAGACCTCATCTCTATATTAAAAATAATAATAATAATAATAATAATAATAATAAAGAAAAAAGAAACCCAGGCATGGTGGCTCATACCTGTAATCCCAGCACTTTGGGAGGTTGATGTGGATGGATCACATGAGGCTAGGACAACATGGTGAAACCCCATCTCTACTAAAAATACAAAAATCAGCCAGCCATGGTGGTGTACATCTGTAATCCCAGCCACTTGGGAGGCTGAGGCATGAGAATCTCTTAAACCTGGGAAGCAGAGGTTGCAGTGAGCTGAGATCGCACCACTGCACTCCAGCCTGGGCAACAGAGTGAGACTCTGTCTCAAAAAAAAAAAAAGAAAAAGAAAAAAAAAAGAAAAGAAAGAAAAAAGGAAAAATAAAAGAAAAAAGAAAATGCAAATTTGTTCCAATGCTGCTCTTGTTAGGGAGGAATCTGAGCATAATGCAAATTTTATGTCTATTTATGCAGATTTCCTCAGAAGAAATACCAGGTCAATGTAGAAAATTGCACCCAGCCATGTAGGAAAACACAAAACACACGTGAGTGGAACATCTACCAGTTCACACATACACCAGGGTGTCACACCTATCTCTTCCTGCTGTGTCAACTTCCCCTCCGGTTTCAGATAACCTTCCTTATGCCCTTCACAGTAATGCACAAGTCACAGCCCTTCCAACACCCACTTCCACAAGCAAACTTCAAGTTCTTTGCAGACAGTGACATATTTATTGTGCCATTTATATATTTCTTAGCCATTTAATGTGTACAACTGTGCTCCTGTGTTTACTAGGTTCCTCTTTTTGTCATATGTGTCAGTGATGAAGTTTTGTGTATTTGTGCCCCTAATTCATGTTCCCCATAAAGCCCTGTGGTTTCTGTTGCGTGATTTTGCATGACATGATGATATTTAGAAATGCGTATGCTGCATTATAGCAGAGCTGGCTTTGCTGAGAAAATAGGATGGTAATACAGCTTGTTTTCAGGTTCCTGAGGCAATATGTTAACATCAACCATCAAAAATTCAGCATGACATATTAAGACTTCTTTTTTCTATCTTTCCTGAAATAAGACCATGCTGAATTTTGCCTCTGACTGTCTTTTCATGACTGCAGCCCTTTCTGCAAACTGCCTGGACCACCATCATGGTTGGAGGGCCCTCCCAAAGGGTGTGGATTTACTGCCATACTCGGCCCAGAACGACATCATCAAACTCTCTAGCCCACAGCCTGTGGACATTGCTAAGGCACCAACCCGAAGAAGAACTGAACTGCATGGATTACAACGATAATACCAGAACTTTTAAAATTACTTCTGGCTAAAATTTCCACCATCAGGGCTTTTCAGGAATCAGCTCAATTATCATGATTCTGCCCAGTAGGTCCTCGTAGGTGTCAAGTTTGGTCTTGGGCACTCCCCTTGATCAGTGAGGTCACTTCCCTTATACTTTGGTTACATGAAAGTGCTGAAAAGTATTTATAAGAGCTCAAAATTCATGGGGGGACATTCACAGTGAATGTACTGAAGGCAGAATTCAGTTTTTTAAACATTGCTATTAGCTTGCCACCAGAAGAGCAAAACATGGCAAGAGAAGTTTCATCGTCAGTGAACTTTCACAGCAACAAACCTCCACTATTGTGTCTTTCACATTACATCACAGATGCACTGATGAGTTATCATAACACCATGTTTAAGTGTGTGGTTAATGAACTCTGATTCCACAGGCTTTAAGAGTTATGCCTGGTTTACAAAGACAAGGCTTTTATCATCTGAGAAGCAATAGTGCAGAAATCTTGAAGACGGTGTATAAATCCCAAAGTCAGAATGCTGGGTTCAACTCACAGCTTACCAGCTTGGTTACTTTTGAGGCAAGTTACTTAACCTCTCTATGCTTTAGTTTCTGCAACTATCAAATGCAGAATAATAGTACCTACCTCACAGTTTCATTGTGAAGCTTAATGAGTTAGTAGAAGTAAAATGCTTGGAGCTGTGCTTCGCACGACAGTGCTGCAAAAGAATTTGCTGTTCTTATTATTGGCACAAAAAGTTCAGCCAGAACTCACCTCTGGTATGCCAGAGCCACAGGCATATGGTGCAAATACACGCACCAGGGAGACAGCCAGAAATGCAAACAGCAGCGCCCATAGGATGTACATTAAGTAATTCAGAATGTAAGCACTGGCACCCTAGACAACAGACACAAAACAAAAAAGGAAACATTAGCCACAGCAGACCTGAGCAGCAGACCCGAACCCTCCCCATCTGTCTTGGCAACAAAAGCTTTGACAGGATTGGGCAGGTTTGGTCCCTGTCCTGTATAAACCAAAAGGCCAGCGTAGGTTTATCAGCTGTTGCTATTGCTACAGTCAGTACACACAAACAGAGCAGCGGGTGTTTCTCCGGGAGCTGTTTACACACATCTTCTACGAGGGAAGGCTCAGCAGCAATGGCAACCATGGATGATGCTTGGTTTTAATCACCACTTGCATAGAGTTAATCAAAGGTGTAACGTGGAAAATCCTGCCTCCGAGACCCTGGCAGATTAGTTTTGTCTTGTCTGTGGTGACTTGATCTCTCTTAACTTTCATTAAGGCCACACCCAACCACAGCAAGCACCTGCACTGCCAATGAATACGGGTCGGGCCTGCATTTTAGAATACCGCTGCTCAAGGTGGGGTGCATGGTCCAGCTGCATCAGCTTCCCCTGGGAGCTTATGAGACATGCAGACTGTCAGGCCTCACCCCAGAACTCCTGAACCAGACACCAGACACTCCTGGCTGGGGCCCAGATAAATGTGTTTTAACAAGCCCTCCAGGAGGTTCTATGTGCACTAACATTTGAGAGGCGCTATCAGAGGAGAAAAACATGATCATTTTCAGAATAATTCATTGAACCATTTCTTCCAAATTATCTGATGTGTGGAGAATGTCTTCTGAAACAAACATACAGTCTGAGGTCCTATGCGGGAAGGGCCTGGTCTGCTGGGTAGAGACCACACTTCTCTAGGCTCAGCTTCTTGCCACCATCTGGATTACTTAAGTAAGGGGGGGCAGGAAAGCAAGGTCACCTACAAATCAGACTATGGACAGCCACATGTGTGCCTATTAAATGCAAAAACATGTTCCAAGAGACTGCTCTGGCCTTTATAAGCACATATATTCACACCCTATGTGGTGAGAAATCGGACTAAGAAATACCTTTCACCCGCTTAAATATGTACTTTTTGGAGGCTAAAAATAACTCTCACTCTTACTAAAGGTAATTCTTCGAATCAAAGTATAAATCTTAAAAACAGTTGAAAAGATGGATGGCTGTATTTCCCAAAACACGCATTGCAAGTAGGAGAGTAGAAATAAAATATGGCATACGGCCAATTCTGTCTGCCCGCTCCCATCAACCCAAGTACAGAATTTCTTTTTGGAAGTAATGGAGACCACTGAGAACGTGTGAGATTTCAAGATCCCTGTCTACTTCTGAGATTTGAAGGAATTAATTTTCAATTCCACTGAGAAAGAGGTTTAGCAAAAATGGCAAAGTGCATTCCAAATGTCTTCAGCTGTGGTAAGTCAGTCAGGCAAAAAAAAAAAAAAGCAAAACCTCTTTAAAAAG